ATAATCAAAAATCGAAGATAGCCATTTGATTGTTCATGGTATTGGCAGTCTCATGGCGTTTACGGCATGTTTGTATGTCTTATCTGTGATTTTATGTTTTTTTAACATATGCCGTTTTTGGTCGAAAACTCAGAAATTATTCCGTCACTAAAACCTCGATATCTCAAAAAAGCTTCGTCCGATTTTTTGAAACTTTGTCATAAGAAACTTCAATCAATTCCCTACAGGTATCCAAATTGTGTTTATGCTATAGCGCGGCGAAAAAAGTGGGGGGCGTTTCACGCCCCTCCCCCCCCCCCAGCAACTCGCGGGTTAACGCGAGGTACTGAAAGTTTCGTTGCGATCGGCCGCTTTTTACGAAAGTTATTCGCGAAAAACCGATGGCAGTAGGGGTCCGTTCGACGCCTCCCCCCTCCCCGCACTATATGGGCGAGGGTTAATTTAACCCTCGCCCGCACATGCCATTTTACCATCCTAGAACGCACATGGGGGGTTGCCACCACCACCCCCCCCCCGCGCCATTTCGTTCCTGTTCAAGATAGAGCTTCGCGGTAAAGACCAAAAAGATTCTTTGGGAAGAGACGAATACAATGATACCCAGTTTTACCTTCTCAGGTCAGTCATTGACCTTCCAGGTCAGGTTAAACTAAAAAATGTTCCTGTTTTGGGTCACCGTTGGATATCAAGTGCGCTGCTTATCATATACCGATGACGATGCCGTTTTCTGGTACCAAGCCAGCTAGAACCTCTTTGTCACACTTCCCGACCAGGTTTTTGCGGCTGAGGTCATTTCAGGTCAAGCTAGGTCAAGGTCAATGATATGTGTTTGTATGTCTGTGTGTGTCTGTGTGTATACTGATGTGTGCACCGATTGTTTATGTGTCCATATTACCTACATGAAATCATAATCTGAGAAGCTTTTACCAAAAATACAGTCAAAAAATTCACGAAAAGCAAATTCAACTTGCCTAACGCAATTATTTTAGATGACCTAGGTTGACCTAGACCCTGACCTTGACATCAGTACATCGTCGAACAACATGTTCCATGATAGGTGGGAGGTAAGACTGGCAAAAAAAGGCCGAAAGCAAGGTGTCAAAAGCTCATAAGGCCCATAGCCAACGCAAGATGTTAATAATTGGTCATTTGGGTCATGACATGACCTGAAAAAGAAAGTCATATCTCCGAAAAAACAGAAACCTGAAAGTTGAAATTTTCAGTGGACATCAAGAAAGGATAGAGGAGCAGCTACACGAAAAATCAGGCTTCTAGCTCTAAAGATATTGAGTGCAGAGCAGAAAGCCTACCTGGGGGGGGGGGGGGAACCCCATGTGCGGGCGAGGGTTCACAGTCTTCTATATCATCATGCAAAAGGGTATGGAGTTATTTATTAGCAGTTACTGACTAATGCCAGCGCTGCAAAAGCCCAGCATATTACGTTAACCCGCGCCCCGTTGGGCTCTGCCGAGCAACGCGCCCGGTTGGGGGGGGGGCCATTTTGGCCCCCCCCTAAGATCTCGAGAACCACGCAACCTAGCGACAAGCGGTAAACGGCGTTGGATAGCCCCAACGGGGAACTACCTTGTGACCCAATTTTATTGACCTAGGTCAAACCGATGACGTCACAGGTCAGGTCAAAGGTCCAATTTTCACCGTTTACAGGCACTTCAAGAAATGCGTTGTAAAATCGAGTAAAATGCATTTCATTGAAAATCATCGATGGGGAAATGTTCTTCAAACACATATTTTGCTATTTGAGGTCACTGATACCAGGTCAGGTCACAGAGGTCAGGTCACGGGGGGGTCACAATATGAAAGTGTCGTGTGATACATGTTTTATGGTCCATTTTACATGACAAATGCGATCATATGGGTCAGGCAGCCTTTGGGGCCAGCTTAGATCACGTTTTGGTCAAGGTCAGGTCAAGGTCAGGTCAAGGTCAGGTCAAATTAGGTCAAATTTCAAAGTTAATATTTTTGCATAAAATGGGTATCGAATCGATGCAGCTCGTCACGGGGAGTTCAATGGTGGTCTTTGTTTTGCCGTACGTGGTCTAGAATTGCTAAAAATTGAGTTAAAAAATTTGACGTCATCATTTTTGAACAGTTTTTTCGCTATAACTTGGCCAAAAAACGAGATATCGGTCTGAAATTTGGTATGTATATAGAAGAGCGCTGAGACTATCACATATATTCCGGTTTTTTTTCGAAATTCGGAAAAATTTTGGATTTTTTTCAAAGTTTTTCTAAAAAAATCAATTTTTTGAATTTTTTTGTCAAAAACCAAAAATTTTGAAAATCCGAGATAGCAGTTTTGTAGCGCCGCTTTTTGTCTACTAGACCATATAAAGAACTTTGAAATTGCTTGATAACTGTAGATTTGGTAAGCGTTTCAAGATTGCATGTTTTTTGCTCATTTTTGCTCGAACATGACCTCAGTTTGACCTCAATAACTCCTGACCTAAGGTGACCTAAGACTTGAAATTTGGTGTGAAGGTGTCAAATTGATGCCCGGGAAGGTACTGAAAATTTGGCGGCGCTGCGCGCCGCCGTTTTCTTGCTATTCAGGAAAAACCACAGGGGGGGGGCCAAAATGGCCCCCCCCCCAACGGGGCGAGGGTTAATTATCCGACGGTGGTTTTCGCCGCCATACTCGTACTAAGATTACTACAAATCCCGGCCATCAGAGCCACAATCCCGCTCCGTTCGGAGTAGTGGTGTCAATCGGAACTTGAATCTTCGGAATTCCGATTTTGTCCAATGTCCAATTCGGAATTCGGTTGGATAATGACAGCAGGCTTTGGACAACTTTGGACAATCGCTTGCTACACCTCAACATTTTTATAAAGTAATCGTGTTTAACATTGATTGGCTATTAGAAAGCTCAGCTTTCGATATGATTACCACTTTTGAGCTGGTAACGATACATTAATTGCAAATTAACCCTCGCCCGTAAACGGTGTTTTGCCACCTTCGCCCATGTAGGGGGGGGGGGGGGGTGCGACCCCCCTGGCGTTTGAAAACGGAGCGTCATAGAGCTTAGCGGAAAAGACCAACGGATTGCTCTCAACGAGATCTCGCGATACCCTCGCATGTGTGCGGCGTTTTCCAGCTTCTATGTGTAGGGGGGGTCGGTTGGACCCCCCCTTGCCGTTTGGCCCCTGATCGAACTAGAGCTTCGCGGAAAAAACGAGCGTGTTGCCCGTGACGAGAGGAAGCCGATGATACCCAATTTTAAGGTCCTAGGTCATTGGTTGACCTTCCAGGTCAGGTCAATGACCCAAAGTCGGGAAAATCGGGACCTGTTAGAAAGTCGTAAAGTGTGACTGCTAAGGGGTTTTCGGGGTGCTGATCACGAATATCGTGTTAGTTTTGATCACGGATGATGTCTTGAAGCATTTAGACCAGGTCGGGTCAGGTCAGGTCAGGTCAACCAGTAGGCGTCGTGACGGGTATTCGTAGTATGTGTCAACCACCTCTGACAGCTTCGTAACATGTTACGAAGTCACCAAAACTACTTCGTAAATGTTCAAATGGTTGCTAAATTCGAATTCAGCTCCAAAAACTAGCCTAGAAACATGTAAAACTCGAAAAAGTGAACCGAGGTCACCCGAGGTCACCAAAGGTCAATGATCTGACCTGACCTTCAGGTGACCTTGACACCCACGGGAGTAACATCAAATCACATGTTTGAACGTTTGAAACCACGAAAAGCTTGCAAACGTGCGGCTAGTGCGAGCCGACATACGCGAAATCGCGATTACGGCCAAACATGGTCTCGGAAAAGAGGTCACAGGTCAAAGGTCATTTGGGTCAGGGTCATGAAATTTTCAGGATAGGTGTAAAATTGATCAATGCGAGGGTACTGAAAGTTTCGTCGCGATCGGCCGCTTTTTACGCGAGTTATTCGCGAAAAACCATGGGGGGGAGGTCCATCCGACCCCCTCCCTACACATGCGAGGGTTAATATTTGACCTACTTATGACCGGTCAAAGGTCAATTTTTCGGAAAAAAATCTAACTTTTTCAGATTTCCGCGCCGATCGCGGCAAAACTGTAAGAGATATCGACTTGAAATCTTCACTGTCGTGATCCTCGATCAATTCTCTATCGTTTGGTGTGTATTTCGATGTCATAACTCTAAAAATGATGCGTTGGGAGCATCGGAAGTCTGCAAGGTCATTTGTGCATTGGGTCACGTCAGGCGTGTGACGTCACTGACCTGACCCTGACCCCAAATGAACTACAAGAAACATCCGACGATGCCTGAAATGGATAGCAAGTTCGAATTCAGGGCATCAAAACACCCCGAAAAGGCATACAAGTGCAAGAAGTCATTACAGGTCAACCGAGGTCACTGACCTTACCTTGACCTTTAGTAACCTTCAAAATGTCAACGGACATTGTGCCAATGTCAAATCAGCCAGTTGTGATTCTAAAACAATCCATCAGTGTGTCAGGTCAGTCGGCATTTATACCAATGTGAAGCAATCTCCAATTTAGCGTAAATCTGGCTGGAGGTTGTTCCCTTTATGACGTCATAACTCCGTGACCTGACATGACCTTGACAAAAAAAACAAAAGTTGCGCAAAGGATGCCCCAAAGGGTACTGAAAATTTGAGCAGGCTATCTGAAACGGTTCGGCGTGTAGCTAAGAAAAACCTCAGGGGGGGTTGCACCCCCCCCCCTACATGGGCGAGGGTTAAATAACGGTGTTGAGTATAAACTATTGCGTAGATGTCGGACATCTTTGGACAAATGGCTGGCTTGGACATTTTTGGACAAACGGTCGACGTAAGCATTGAACATTGGACAGACATTGGACACATGTTTTCTAAAATAGACATCCCTAGTTCGGAGCCTCACCCATTGGTCGGGGCCGGGGTGGCCGCAGCGCCGGCACCAGTCGATCCAGTGGCGGCGGCCGGTGGTGCCGACGGGGCCGGGGTGGCCGCAGCGCCGGCACCAGTCGATCCAGTAGCAGTGGCCGGTGGTGCCGACGGGGCCGAGCCGGAGCTGGCCGGCTCAGGCGCCTTGGGGGCGGACGAGTTGGCCGGAGTAGGTGGCTTGGCCGCGGCGCCGCTCTCGCTGGAGGCCGGCTTAGACGCGGCGCTACCGAACGACGGCCATCCACCGAACACTGAGGAGCCGGAGCCGAACGGAGACGACTGGGCACCAGAGGCCACACCAAAGCCGCCGAACAGAGAGGCGGGCTTGGAGTCAATCCCGGAGCCGCCGAATATCTGGTCTTCTTTGGATGTCTTGTCGCCGGTGGTCGCCCCACCGAAGAGAGATACGGCTTTGTCAGTTCCCTTTTCTCCGAACACCGATGGGGTACCAAAGATGGACGTGGTTTTGGTTTCGGAAGAGGTCGTTCCTCCGAAAATAGACGCAGGTTTGGTTTCAGTTGACGACGCTCCTCCGGAGATCGAAGTTGTCTTGTTACCCGATGAACCTCCAAATATTGACGTGGTCTTTGTGTCCGCTGCCGCCGCTCCTCCGAAGATCGAGGATCCAGACTTGTCGGCGTCGCTGCCGAATGAGAATTTGAACGGCGACGAGGCTGCGGACGACAAGCCGAACTCGAACGTGGCCTTGGGAGTCGCCTCGACGACCTTACCCTGGTCGACGCCGAACGCAAACGGGGCCGCCTTGAAATGGAAGGAGCTGTTGGGGGTGGCCGCTCCGGCGCCGGCGGCGGGGGCAGAGGTCACGACGCTGGAGGTGGTGGTACTGGAGACCGCGGCGCCAGAGCCAGAGGTCGAGCTGACAGGCCCCTCCCCCGTGGTGTTCTCGCCCCTTGCCTGCGATGGAAACCGGTGCAGGGGCGGCTTTAGTTCCGACATCCAGTTGAACACATCAGTAGTTGAACATATGAAAATACAATATAAAATAAAGGAACAATGACAAGGCGACAAGGGAACACTTAGCCCTCGCTGGACCTTTTATATTTTCTACATACTCGCACGTGCCGGCCGATGGAAGGGGGGGGGGGTACGAACCCCCTCGCCGTTATGCCCCTGATGGAGCTCAAGAGCGTTGCGGAAAAAAACGAGCGTGTGCGCTGTTACCATACGCAGTAAATGATACCCGATTATAAGTCCGCGCCCCGCTGGGGGTCCTGGATTTCCACGCACTGCTGGGGAAGGGGGGGGGGGCTCCCCCAGCACTCACCGCACCCGGCTACGGGCGGTGCTCGGCTTACGGGCAATCCCGCATGGGATAAAGTTGCCCGTCCAGCGCGGATCAGGGGGTTGCGGCGTGGAGGAGAAGGATTTGACTATCCTGAGGATGGAAACGATGGAACGGTGCGGATATCGATGGAGGCAGATATAGTCACTATAAGCTGAACATTCCATGAGCAAGGTTAGCAGGCAACTGGCGACGAAATGGAGAGTGTGGTACTATTCTATGGGCAGACAATAGTGATGGACAGAGGGTGTCGAGAAACTATTAGCCACGTGCCTCGGGAAAGGTAGTGAGCCCTGGGGGCATCGTTCGTAGCTGGCTGACGGTTTGTGTTCTGACTGACTGACCTTGGCCGGTGTGCTGGTGGCGCCCTCGGCGGTCGGCGGACGGAACGAGAAGCTCGGCGTGCTCGGCTGAGCAGGTGGCGCTGTGGTCGGTCCAAAGCTGAAGCCAGTGGAGGCGGCAGCAGAGGCGCCGGTCGTGTTAACGCCAGTCCAGGCCGATGGTGCCTGGTCGAGCTTGATACCGCCGTTCGTGCTGGAGACCGTCCCGGTAGAGGGCGTCGTCTTACTAAACCCCGACCCGAAGATGGTGGAAGCCGTCGTGGCGGGGGCCTTGCCACCGCAGGAAAACAGCTCTTGCGGTATGGGGAGCTGCTGCAGCTGTAGTGACGCCTGCACCTCCAGCTGCTTCTGGTTCCTCATCTGGTCCACCTCCAGCTGCCGAATGGGCAGAAGGAGTGTCAGAGCTGGATACTTCAGTGACAACGGGACACTATCTAGGAGCACGATACGCAAGAATGCATGCACAACACTTATCGTTCCTTGCAACGTGATGAGATCCGACACAACATACCGGCGATGGTTAAATCAACAAGGGTGTGAGATAAACATGGTCAGCACAGTGAAGGTCTCTGCCATTGATGATGCGGTCGGACATTGTTGTGACTGCAGAGGCCACCCACCGCGGGGTTTGACGGGCCAGCAGCGCTCCGTCCCAGTGGGCCTGAATCGCCGTCCCCCTGACTCACGCTCAGCTCCTGCAGCTCTCGGCGCAGCTGCCGCAGCTCCTCGTTCAGCATGTCGCGAACGTCGGCCAGCACCGCGTCCCGCAGCTCCGCGGAACTCTGGGGCCGGGTGTGCGGGCCGGCCGCCGGCGGCGACTGCTGTTCCGTCAGAGTTATGACGGCTTCCTTCAGACCCTTCAGCTCGTTGCACAGGCGGTCCATGAGGGGACGCACCTCCTGAGCGGAGAGTACAGGTCTCGGGTCAGCCACACCCTCAGGTCCGCCAGAAAGTGTCATTCCTTGGATAGGGCACAACAATCATAAACACATACATACATCCGTGACGTTCAGAGTAGTAAAAAAAAACCTAATTCGTTTCTCTAATGTGGAAGTTCCATCCCAGGTCTCTTCTCCCTGCGCACGATTAGACCACTGTCCTGACCTCGACCCGAGGTCAACACCTTCAATCCGCGACCCACTGCACTGGGTTTTTTTTTGCAATAGCTTCTAAACCGCTTGACGTATCGCCGCCAAACTTTCAGTACCTTCGGCTGCATCAATTTGATACTTTTTTTAATTTCAACTTCGTATCTATCATAGGTCGGCCGGAAATGACGTCAGAGTGACGTCATGTTCGGCCAATTTCGACGCAAAACATTGAACCATTGGAATCGCTCCCAAGAGCTCAGTTTTTAACCCGCGCACCGACGAGTGGGGCCGGATATCCGCCCCCCCCCCCCTGAGGTTTTTCGCGAATAGCGGGAAAACCGCGGCGCGTAGCGCCGCGAAATTTAGTATGACTATTCCCTTATCAATTTTACACATGGTGTGCAAGTTTAAACCTCCTACCTTTCAAGGTCAGGTCACCAGGTCACTTTGAATGACCCAACCTCAAGTCACTTTTTTGCAAATTTGTCACCGTGCCAGAGCTACAGTAGATGTCGGAGGCCTTTGCAAGTCGCAGGATGTTATTAGGTCATTATTAGCTACAATTTGTATATCTCGAAATTTTGATATCGGTGACCTAAGGTCAGGTCGATTTCGCGACCTCCCCATTATAAGTCAATGGGGGAAAAAGCAACTCCCTGTTTTTCCACTAAAACGGGTCGGAATGGCCCCATATACCATACATGACTTCATATACGATCAACCTTCACTACCTTGAGGTCTTTTTTGCTGTTGGGCAGCTGTGAGGTCATGTGACGTCATCAAAGGTCACCAAAGGTTTTTGGCCAATAACTCCGTACAGGAACAAGATACAGACGCGTGGATGGTCTCATTGTGTTCAGCTCGTCAAGACGCATCGAATGATATACATGACGACCTCGAGGTCACGTGACCTGAGGTCAACCTTTGACATTGCCCTTTCGAGGTCAACATATATATCATTCGATGCGGATTGACGAGAGGATCACGATGATGCCCTTAGTTTGTTCCTATCTTGACTAATTCGAAAGTTATTCGAGAAAAACTCTCTCCATATTTAGCGCCGCCATTTTGACTTTTTCGACCCCTGTGACGTCATCTTTGACCTGACCTGAAAATGACCTTTGTAAAAATTGTAGATCTTGACCGTGCGTATCCGATGCCGTTTGCCGCTTGTCGCTATCTTGCTTCGTTCTCGAGATCTCAGGGGGGGGGGGCGGTCATCCGCCCCCCGTCGGTACTAAGTTGGCGCAGACCCCCGTCGGTGCGCGGGTTAACCCGCGCCCTGGTGGGGTCTGTTCATAACGCGACCTGGTGGGGGGGGGGCTATCTTTTGCCCCCCCCCCCTCGTATCTCCGAAACTACTGGACAGATCCGCAAAATTCAAACGGCGTTCGAAAGGCCTGTCAAATTTGTCGAGTAAAACCAAATTTCATTGACCTCGGGGTCACCGATGACGTCACAGGTTAGGTCAAAGATAAAATGTTTCACCGTTCACGGGTCTTCTAGGGAATGCGCTATAACACCGAGGAAAACGCATTTTGTCGAGAATCAGCGATAGGGCGTCAGTTGCCTAGTAGATATGTTGCTATTAGAGGTCACTGGTAATACCAGGTCAGGTCACAGGTCAGGTCACCAAGGGTCACAGGTCAGGTCACATGAGCTCAACTTTACTAAGGTTGTGTGATACATGTTTTATGGCCAATTTTTCATTTCCAACTCAATGGTGTTGGTTATAAGACTATCAGGTACGGCTTAGGTCACTTTCTGGTGAAGTTCAGGTCAAGGTCAGGTCAAGGTCAGGCGAAAAAAGGTCAAATTTTAAAGTTGATAGTTTTGCATAAAGTAGGTATTGATTCGATGCAGCTCGTCACGGGGAGTCTAATGGTGGTCTTTGTTTTGCGCTACGGGGTCTAGAATTGCTAAAAATTGGGTTTGAAAATTTGACGTCATCAATTTTGAACAGTTTTTTTCGCTATAACTTCGCCAAAAAAATAGCGGTATCAATCTCAAATTTGGTATGTGGATGGAAGGCGGTAGGGACTATCACATATATTCCGGTTTTTGCGAAAATCAAAAAACTTTTTGGATTTTTCGATTATTATATCCAAAAAATCTATTTTTTGATTTTTAGGGGTCAAAATCCATAAATTTCATAAATCCGAGATAGCAGTTTTGTAGCCCTGTCCAATCTACAGCTTTTATGTCCTTATCATTTTTCTGTATTTGCAAAGCTATAGGCCTGACAGCTCTTCCCACGAAACCCTTTTTTGGGTCGAAAACGGCAAAACATGACGTCACTCTGACGTCATTTCCAGCCAACCTATCATAGCCTTTGGAAAAATTTTTGGTCACAATGTGTAAAATTGATGTCCGGGAGGGTACTGAAAGTTTGGTGACGATCGGCGCAGCGGTTTTGGAGATATATCAAAAAGTCTGGAGGGGGGCAAAAAATAGCCCCCCACCAGGTCGCGGGTTAACCCGCGCCCCAGATCGCGGTCTCAGCCAGCTTCGCCCTAGTGGGGGGGGGGGCATATGTTACCACCCACCTCTAACTCAAAAACTAAGAGGGCTAGAAAGACGCGGTAAAAAGCAGTCGATAGCTCTCAATGCGTACGTTTGAAAGTACTTGGGTCATTTTTCACCTTAGAGCAACATTGGGGTCACCAGACGTCATCAAAGGTCAAAATTTGCCAATTGTCATGATATTTTTCAGAAAACATGCCGCTATCTCAGAAACTATGGTAGCTAGAAAAAAACATGGAAAAGCAATCGATAGCTTTTGAACATTTCTTTTGAAAAGGTCATTATCAATATTGACCTCAGGTCAACGGTTTAGCCTCCAGAGGGCAAAAACTCCAAAAATAGCTGTTTTTACGAAAAGTGTTTTTCGACAATAACTTTCGACTACCAAAAGCCACCACATTTTTAGTAACAGAATCGTGTTCCCCTCGTCGAGACGCGTCGAAAGAACTATAATTTGACATTGAAAGGTAACTTCAAAATTTGACCTCAGGTCAAGGTCATGACCTTACCGGAAAAGGTCATGATGCATATCAGTCGATGCGTCTCAACAAGACAAACACAATGAGACCATCCCCCTGACTCACGCTCAGCTCCTGCAGCTCTCGGCGCAGCTGCCGCAGCTCCTCGTTCAGCATGTCGCGAACGTCGGCCAGCACCGCGTCCCGCAGCTCCGCGGAACTCCTGGGGCCGGGTGTGCGGGCCGGCCGCCGGCGGCGACTGCTGTTCCGTCAGAGTTATGACGGCTTCCTTCAGACCCTTCAGCTCGTCGCACAGGCGGTCCATGAGGGGACGCACCTCCTGAGCGGAAAGTACAGGTCTCGGGTCAGCCACACCCTCAGGTCCGCCAGAAAGTGTCATTCCTTGGATAGGGGACAACAATCATAAACACATACATACCTACATCCGTGACGTTTCATGGTAGTCACCCTAATTCGTTTCCCTAATGTGGAAGTTCCATCCCAGGTCTCTTCTCCCTTCGCACGATTAGACCACTGTCCTGAGTCCTGACCTCGACCCGACCCTCGCCGGCACAGGTCATTTTGCGTCCTTCGACGGCACACGGGGGGGGGGGGGGTACGACCCCCCTCGCCTTTAGCCCCTGATCGAGCTAGAACTTCACGGTAAAAACGAGCGTGTTGCCCGTCACGTCAGAAAGCCGTTGATACCCAATTTTAACCCGCGCCCCAGTGGCGGTCTCGGCCAACTTCGCCCTAGTGAGGGGGGGCATATGTTACCACCCACCTCTAACTCAAAAACTAAGAGGGCTAGAAAGACGCGGCAAAAAGCAGTCGATAGCTCTCAATACGTACGTTTGAAAGTATTTCGGTCATTTTTCACCTTAGAGCAATATTGGGGTCACCAGAGGTCATCAAAGGTCGAAATTTGCCAATTGTCATTATATTTTTCAGAAAACATGCCGCTCTCTCAGGAACTATGGTAACTAGAAAAACGCATGGAAAAGTAATCGATAGATTTTGAACTCTTCTTTTGAAAAGGTCATTATCAATATTGTCCTCAGGTCAACGGTTTAGCCTCCAGAGGGCAAAAACTCCAAAAAATAGCTGTTTTTACGAAAAGTGTTTTTCGACAATAACTTTCGACCACAAAAAGCCACGACATTTCTATTGCCAGAATCGTGTTCCCCTCTTCGATACGCGTCGAATGAACTATAATTTGACCTTAAAAGGTCAACTTAAAATTTGACCTCAGGTCAAGGTCATGACCTGACCGGAAAAGGTCATGTTGCATATCAGTCGATGCGTCTCAACAAGACAAACACAATGAGACCATCCCCAGCGTTCTATCTCTTTCCAATCGCGAGTTATTGGCAAAAAACTGTTTGTAGCCTCAAATGACCTCGGATGACCTTTCTAGAGGCTATCAGCAAAAATGACACCTTGGTCATCACGAGTGGACTAAATCATTGTGATTCTGAAATATTTGGACTGTTCCTATGCGTACACACGGATCTAGAGGCATTTTCGAGATATACAAATTGTAGGCTCCCATAACAGCATGCAATCCACCAAGTTTAAAACCTTTTTGACAAACACTGCAGGCTGGACATGATTGCAAACTTTTTTTAACCCTCGCCGGCCGAGGGGGGGGGGCGGGTGCCGCCCCCCCATAGGGTTTTTTTCGCGATAGCTCCGAACACGCTGGCGATAGAGAGCTGAAACTTAACATACATGACCTTTGATCCAAGACGCATCTTTTGACACCAACCGCATTTTTGGGTCAGGTCAGGTCACTGACCTATGACGTCATAAGTGAACCTCTGCACGGTCTTCAGATGTCGCAACTTCGCAACGCCCTCACTGCCAGAGGAGATGTCACAGGGAAATGAAACTTACAGGATCTACTATCCATTATGAGTGTCACAACTTGTATATCTCGGATTTTTCCTAAAGGTCATATGAGGTCAGGTCATTTTCGTGACCTCACCATTATAAGTCAATGGGGAAAAATGAAAACTGCTATTCTGGCGCCGGGAACGATCTCCAACTATCTCAAGCACACAGAATCGTGATTTGATGCACTCCTTGCAAGGTTAGATGCGTCACTTTTGCAATGTTGACCTTGCGTGACGTCATTTATGACGTCATCAAGGTCATATTAGTTTTTCGTCAATAACTCCCGATCAAATTGAGCTAGCGAGTCGCGAAAGCCATCAATGGACTCAGGAAGACCTGCCGAATCGAATGATATGCGACATGACCTCTTTCGACCAACTTCGTGACCTGGGGGTGCTGACCTGACCTTGACCTGAGGTCAACACCCCAAGTTGACCTGACCCGAACAAAAAGTATATCATTCGACGCGCCTGAGCGAGGCGAACACGATGTTGCCAAAATCGCGGCTCTGCGGCCGTTTTTTGCGAAGTTATTCACCAAAAACTGAACCGTACCCTGGGGCACTTGACCTGACCTCAGAGGTCACCGGTTGACCTAGGACCTTAAAATCAGGTACCAATCTCTGCGTCTTGTAACGGCGCACACGCTCGTTTTTTCCGCGACGCGCTAGCTCCACCAGGGGCGAAACGGCGAGGGGGGGGGGGTCGTACCCGCCCCCCCCTCGGCCGGCGCGTATGTAGAAAACCAATAGGTCCGGCGAGGGTTAACCCTCGCCGGACCTCGCCGGACCTCGCCGGCTTGGTCAGTTAACTTGACCTGGTGACCTGACCTGACATGACCTGGGGTCAAAATTTTACACATTGTCCAAAGTTGATGTACCAAAAGCTACCCCAAGCGGCGCGGCGCTACGCGCCGCGGTTTTTTATTCACACGCGAATAACGCGACAGGGTGGTAACATATGCCCCCCCCCCCCCCACTGGGGCGAAGGTTAACCCTATTCCTGGCGGGCTCCGCCGGGACAAGAAACTGGCGGGGGGCCGATTCGGCCCCCCCCTCAGATCTCAAAAACTACACATCGCAGCGACAAACGGTAAACGGCATCGGATTCGCAAGGTCAATATCTACAATTTTTAAAAGGTCATTTTCAGGTCAGGTCAAAGATGACGTCACAGGGGTCGAAAAAGTCAAAATGGCGGCGCTAGATATGGAGAGAGTTTTTCGGCGCTAGATATGGAGAGAGAGAACTTTCGAATTAGTCAAGATAGGAACAAACTAAGGGCATCATCGTGATCCTCTGTGTCAATCCGCATCGAATGATATATATGTTGACCTCGAAAGGTCAAGGTCAAAGGTTGACCTCAGGTCACGTGACCTCGAGGTCATCATGTATATCATTCGATGCGTCTTGACGAGCTGAACACAATGAGACCATCCACGCGTCTGTATCTTGTTCCTGTACGGAGTTATTGGCCAAAAACCTTTGGTGACCTTTGATGACGTCACATGACCTCACAGCTGCCCAACAGCAAAACAGACCTCAAGGTAGTGAAGGTTGATCGTATATGAAGTCATGTATGGTATATGGGGCCATTCCGACCCGTTTTAGTGGTAAAAACAGGGAGCTGATTTTTCCCCCATTGACTTATAATGGGGAGGTCGCGAAACTGACCTGACCTTAGGTCACCGATATCAAAATTCCGAGATACACAAATTGCACATACTGGTACCCTTACTAAAGCCTGAAGAGAAGAAATTGATCGGTCAAAAACTCTAGCTCTGGCGTGATTGCAAACTTTTCTGAGGTAGGGTCACCAAACCGCCTCTGGTGACCTGACCTGAGGTCAGATCAACTCAAAATTTTCAGACATGTTGCATAGAAGCCTTTTAGGAAAAGTCAGAGAATTTGAGCTTCCTAGCTCAACGCGTTTGGGAGAAATCACCAAAAAACCTCAGGGGGGGCTCCTGAGGCCCCCCCCCCCGCCAGGAATAGGGTTAAGGCCCTAGATCATCGGTCGACCTTCCAGGTCAGGTAAATGACCCAAAAGTCGGGGAAATCAGGACCTATCAGAACGTCGTATAGCATGGCTGTTATGTGGTTTTTCGGGGTGCAGATCACGAATATCATGTTATAGTTATGCCATCATAGATGATGTCTTCATGCATTTAGGCCAAGTCGGGTCAGGTCAGATCAGGTCACTAGTAAGGGTTTTGCCGGGTATTCGTAGTAGGTGTTAACCGCCTCTGAAGGCCTCGTAACGTGTTACGAAGGCACCAAGACTAAATCGTAAATGTTCAAATTAATGCTAAATGTGAATTCAGGTCCAAAAACTAGCCCAGAAGCCAGAAACATGAAAAATTCAAAAAAACTGAACCGAAGTCATCAAAGGTCAATGACCTGACCTGACCTTCCGGTGACCTTGACACCCACCCTAATGCCATGGGAGCAACATCATATCCCGCTCCCCGCTGGGGGTCCTGGATTTCCACACCCTGTTGGGGGGGGGGGGGGTGTTCGAACAGGGTTCCGGACAAAATATCGAAATGCAAAATATCGAATCGCAAAATATCGAAGTGACAAAATATCGAAAGCAAAATATCGAAATGGAAAAATATCGAAATGGAAAAATATCGAAGTTGCGAAATATCGAAAAGCAGAATATCGAAATGGCAAAATATCGAATCGCAAAATATCGAAATCGCAAAATATCGAAAGACAAAATATCGAAAGACAAAAGATCGAAAAGACAGGATATCGAAAGACGAATTATCGAAAGGCAAGATATCGAAAAGGCAAAATATCGAAAGACAAAATACCTATCGAAAAGACAAAATATAGAATGCAGAATATCGAAAAGACAAAATATGGAAAGCGGAATATCGAAAAGACAAATTATCGAAAGCAGAATGTCGAAAAGACGAAATATCGAATGCTAAATATCGAAAAGACAAATTATCGTTAAGGAGAATATCGAAAAGACAAAATATCGAAAGTAGAATATTGAAAAGAATCGCTGATGCACTGACATTTCCGACACTTCTATCTTTGAAATGAAAAAAAAAAACATCATAGGCTGTGTTGCTGTTGGGCTGGGTTAAGTTGGGCTGGGTTAGGCTAGATTAGGTTAGGTTAGGTTAGGCTGGGTTAGGTTTCATTAGGTTTGATCAGGTTTGATTATTATTTTAGAACAAATGCAACTGTTTCCTTCTAATGAAACGCCAATAACGGGAAGGGTTGAATCAAGTTATGGCTTAGTTGTCCACTGGTTCATCGGTTTACTGGTTAACCCGCGCCCGGCTGGGGGTCCTGGATTTCCACGCCCTGCTGGGGGGGGGGGGGTGTTTGAACACCCCCCCTTGTAACTCGGCTCCTGGGCCACGTAGCGATACGCGGAAGGCGGCGTTCGAAAGAGCGTAAAAAATAATGACGAAATCACTTCGGTCAATTTTTTGGTCAGGTCAAAGGTCAGGTCACCAGAGGTCATTGAAGGCAAAATTTCGCCGATTTCCAGGTCGAATGGCGAAAATTTTCCAGAAACCAACGCATAACTCGGGAACCAATAGAGCTACAGCGCCGCGGAAAAGCGCATTCGATAGCCCTATTAACGCCCTTTCTGAGTAATTCTCTCAGATTTGACCTAACGTCAACAGTTTTGCCTGCAGGGGGCAAAAACTGCAAAAATAGCCGATTTTTTCGGAAACAGTTTTTCTGCAATAACTTTTGACCCAAGCCCTGTACGAGCTTACTTTTACCGGCATCGTGTTCCTCTCGTCAAGACGCATCGAATGACCTATAACTTGACCTTGAAAGATCAACTTGAAAATTTGACCTCAGGTCAAGGTCATGACCTGACCGGAAAGGGTCATGTTGCATATCAGTCGATCCGTATCGTCGAGCTGAACACATCTAAGGCGTTTTCATCGCTCTAGCATGCCTCTATCAAAAGTTATTTGCGAAAAACTGTTAGATACCATTCGTGACCAAAGATGACCTCAGGGCATAAACAAGGGTCACGGACACCATTTTCATGTTCAGTGTGTCTAAACCACTTGTAATTCGGTGTTTGGGAGTGTTTATAATGTCTTTCATCCAAAAGAGGCGCATTTCAATTTTCTCCCATTGACTTATAATGGGGAGGTCGCAAAATTGACCTGACCTTAGGTCATCGATATCAAAATTCTGAGATATACATTTTGTACATGCTATTGCTCTTAGCAATCGCTGAAAGTTTTAAAGCGATCGGTCACTCGGTGTAGCTATGACAGACATTGAAACTTTTTATGAGGTGAGGTCACTTCAAGTGACCTGGTGACCTGACCTTGAATGACCTTGGTCTGAAATTTTCACAACATGTGTAGAATTGATGTATGATAAGGTGTACCAAAAACGGCGGCGCTCCGCGCCGCCGTTTTTGAGATATTCGCGAAAAACCACAAGGGGGGGTGTTCAAACACCCCCCCCCCCAGCAGGGCGCGGGTTAACTTGCCATCGGTTCATCTGTGACTGGTTTAGTTGTCACTGGTTCAGTTGTCATGGAATACAGTTTTAGTGCCTCGTCAATTATCCCACCCTGGTGCCGCCTATGCCTTCGCTTTTTTTATATTTCGCTTTATCGATATTTTGTCTGTTCGATATTTTGCATTCAATACTTTGTCCTTTAGATATTATGCTTTCGATATTTTGTCTTTTCGATATTCTGCTGTCTGTATTTTGTCTTTTCGATATTATGCATTCGATATTTTGCCTTTTCGATATTATGTTTTCGATATTTTGTCTTTTCGATATTTTGCATCCGATATTTTGTCTTTTCGATATTTTGCTTTCCATATTTTGTCTTTTCGATATTTGGCGTTCGATATTTTGTCTTTCGATATTTTGCCATTTCGATATTTTGCAACTTCGATTTAGGTATGCGAGTCGATATTTTGCTATTTCGATATTTTGCGATTTCGATACTATGCGACTCGATATTTTGCGATTTGACATTTTGCGTTTCGAAATTTTGTCATAAAATCTCAACAATCGTTTGAACACTCTCCCCCCTTCTAACTCGGCTCCTGGGCCACGTAGTGTTACGCGGAAAGAGCGCCAGAAATAATGACGAAATCACTTCGGTCACTTTTTTTGGTAAGGTCAAAGATCAGGACACCAGAGGTCATTGAAGGCTCGCATGTCGACAATTTCCAAGAAGCCAACGCATAACTCAAGAAACCCCTCCCAACACAGCTCACATCACGGAGGTCAGCATGTGAACATGCAAGTTCATTGACCTGTTACACCACGGCGGTCCGTTCTGTACTGGTTTATTGAACCGCGGCCTCGGCTCAGGCCGTGCGCCGCGGGCCGAGTCAGGGGCGGGCCAGGTATAGCGACACATGGGCCACTGGCGCAGCCAGGGGTGGGGCAATCTACTACATCCCTCCACCTCAGGACAAAACATGACACTTTTAAACAGTCGCCACTAGCACTTTACACATATGACAGTCTCTCAGCCGGACGGAGCCGCGCACGGTCTCGCAAAGCGTAACTTCCCCCGCCCCCCCCCCCCGGGCCGTCTCCCTCGGCCTCCGTCGCCGAGGGCGACGTCTCAGCGGCCCGTGAGGACGGCTCACGCACACATGAGGGAGGGTATCCAACACTGGGTATGCTGACATTGCGATGGGCAGCATTGCAAACATTTTGGCCAGACGTCCGCACACGGTCGAGGTGTCGATGGATCACACGCCCATCTCTGAGTCGCACTGACAGTTTTACACCCTTTCTCCCCGCCAGGACACCGGGCAGCCACGTCCTCCCCCACCACCGCTGAGCCGGTCCACTGCAGACACAAACACAGCATCGCCCACGGCCACCTGACGACCAACCGTGTGCCGATCGCGATACAATTTCTGTTTCGCCTGAGTCTGCCGCACTGTCACACCTAAATCAGGCACTAGAGCGTTCAGCGGTGTTCGCATACGCCGCCCCAAAAACAACTCTGCCGGTGTAGCGCGAGTCGTGGTATGGGGAGTCGCTCGGTAATGAAACAAAAATCTCGAAACTTTTGTGTGCACAGATCCCGACTGCTGCTTCTTGAAACTGCGTTTAAAAGTTCCCACACACTTTTCAGCTAAGCCATTCGATTTCATCTCGCCAATTAAACCCAGCAGGGGCTTATGATTAGTTTGGATAACGAACGTATTGCCAGCTAAATAAAAGTGAAAATGTTTGACCCCTGCCACCACTGCTAAGCCCTCTCCGTCTGTTTGCGAGTAACGCCGCTCCGTCTCATTGAGCGTGCGCGAATAATACGCTACTGGGCGCTCGCCGGACGGCGTCTTTTGGATGAGGACACAACCGATCCCCACCGGACTGGCGTCACATGCCAGCGTGATCGGTAACTGAGGATTAAAGTGTGCCAGAACAGGAGGGCTCCGTAACAGGCGCTTGGCATCCTGAAACGCCTCCTGTTCCGCGTCCGCCCATTTCCAAACAGCATCCTTTCGCAAAAGAGCGTACAGTGGTGACAGCGTAGTGGCCAGACCACGCAGAAACTTCCCATAGAAGTTAACCAGTCCCAGCCAGCAGCACAGCTGGGACACATTTTCCGGCTCCGGGGCCACTGTGATCGCCTCCACTTTGTCATCTGTCGGTTGGACACCCTCACCACTGATCTGATGACCCAGGTACACCACCCTGTGAGCTCGGAAAACGCACTTGTCCTTGTTCAGCCGCAGTCCAGCCTCACGGATACGCGCCAACACCGCTCGCAGTGCGACATTATGCTCCTGCAGCGTCTTAACCGAGACTACGACGTCATCCAGAAAGACGCACGTCCCTGGGATGCCCGCTAAGAGCACCTCCATCGTCCTTTGGAAAAGTGCTGGTGCGGATGATTAACCAAACCCGAATCTCGTGCGGGCATCAGTAAGCCTTTTAGAGTGTTGACGGTAAGATATTCTCGTGATTTTTCGTCTAGAGGGAGCTGATTATAGGCTGATTTGAGATCAACCTTTGAGTACACCGCACTCCCCTGGAGCTTTGCTGAGAGCTCTTTTAACCCGCGCCCGGCTGGGGGTCCTGGATTTCCACGCCCTGCTGGGGGGGGGGGTGTTTGAACACCCCCCCTTGTAACTCGGCTCCTGGGCCACGTAGCGATACGCGGAAGGCGGCGTTCGAAAGAGCGTAAAAAATAATGACGAAATCACTTCGGTCAATTTTTTGGTCAGGTCAAAGGTCAGGTCACCAGAGGTCATTGAAGGCAAAATTTCGCCGATTTCCAGGTCGAATGTCGAAAATTTCCCAGAAGCCAACGCATAACTCGGGAACCAATAGAGCTACAGCGCCGCGGAAAAGTGCATTCGATAGCCCTATTAACGCCCTTTCTGAGTAATTCTCTCAGATTTGACCTAACGTCAACGATTTTGCCTGCAGGGGGCAAAAACTGCAAAAATAGCCGATTTTTTTTTGAAACAGTTTTTCTGCAATAACTTTTGACCCAAGCCTTGCACGAGCTTACTTTCACCGGCATCGTGTTCCTCTCGTCAAGACGCATCGAATGAACTATAACTTGACCTTGAAAGGTCAACTTGAAAATTTGACCTCAGGTCAAGGTCATGACCTGACCGGAAAGGGTCATGTCGCATATCAGTCGATCCGTATCGTCGAGCTGAACACATATAAGGTGTTTTCATCGCTCTAGCATGCCTCTATCAAAAGTTATTTGCGAAAAACTGTTAGATACCATTCGTGACCTAAGATGACCTCAGGGCACTAACAAGGGTCACGGACACCATTTTCATGTTCATTGTGTCTAAACCACTTGTAATTCGGTGTTTGGGAGTGTTTATAATGTCTTTCGTCCAAAAGAGGCGCATTTCAGTTTTCTCCCATTGACTTATCCCATTAGAGCCCGTTGGTCACATTTGTGACCACAAAGTTAATGATTTTTTGTCGGTCAAATGTGCTTCATCTTTTGGGAAGGTCCACTTCGCCCGCGTTCAGGCATCTTCCAGCTGGAGGATCCCAGTACTATTTTGCGCATGGCAACCTCACAAGCGACGCTATCTCGGCATTGTCAGCAAGATGTCGGCGCCGATTGGAGCTCGGTCGGACCGCGTCCGAAAAAAACCGTAAGTAAACTCATATTTTCTCAGAAAAATCATTTCTCACACGTCGTATGGGTGGAATTTAAACCTATTTAGAACCTGTAATTATTAGTTTCACTCCATTTGCTTTTTGTTTTGTCTGGCACACGTGCAAATAATGTATGGCAACAAATGTGACCAACGGGCAGAAACCCAACATAAATATGACTTTTTCACATTTCAGGCTCACGGCAAATGAGATATTGGACCTTCTGGAGAGTGACAGCTGGCTTGAAGATGAAGATGTCGAGGACCACATCGATGTTATACTCATGCCCCCCATCGAAAAGGGTGAGTGGGCTCTCGGAAATTGTGGATAATGGGGATGAGAAGGGGTATATGTAGTAGGCAGACTATACTAAGTAGGGCATAATTACAGCGTAGTGTGAATGAGTGAGCATTGTTGTTGGATGGGAGGAGAATGATTGATAAAATACAGGGTCGCACTTACGTTTACGCACTTCTCTACACGTGTGGACAGAGTAAAAGAGCTACATCGTCCTGGCGGCCTTATACTATAGGAGGGTCGGTTGCGGATAATTTTTTTCTACCGATGTTTGCGTCTAAGCTCGTAATTATGTGCGAATTCACATACAAAACTACACATTACCTGACTTACTTTACCAGTAGTATTGTGAAATGACCCTAAGCCTGTCATATTCAAAGGTTAATGATTAGTGTTTTCCTTGCGAACGTTTATGCAACAGCGCCTTCTAGTCAGTGTGACGTTTTTGTGGACGGTTGGGGGGAGGGGTCCCTGCCTTCCTGAGTTCCATTTTCTGTGGCAGCAATTATATCGTACACAAATATACCAAAGTATATTACGGTAAGATGTTGCAAGACTGGCATGGTTCACATCAACGAGCTTGCGGCTGACTACTAAATCAACGTAGCGAAGGTGGTCTGGAAAGCCCTTGTATTCCCAGCAGACGTCTTGCTTTTACCCCGAGGCATCCCTTTCGTGATTAGGTCTGGCAGTAAAGGAGTAATAGAGGAATTAGGGCAGCTTACAGAGTCAATGGTTCTCTCGTTGCAGATGACGCCCATACCGACGAAGACTCCGACAAGTCAGATGGCGAAACCGTTGGTGACACAACCCATCTCCCACGCCGAGTCCTGGGGACATCAGCGGAAGTGACGGGGGAGCAGTCTCCAGCTCCTCGCGATGGGACACACGAAAAGGGATCAGGTGACGTCGCTGCTTCTGCAACACAAGAGCCGGATCAATGTACCTCTGTCAAAGGGCCTAAAAGGAAGAAGGTCAGGAACTGGAGGCACCGTCCACCAACATTTCGGGTTGAACTGTCTGCTGGCGACCCTAACGATGCTTCAGAAGTCGGTGACACATCTCCAAGTGAGCTGTTCCAAAAGATGTTCACGAGAGAGTTGCTGGAAAATATCCTGGAGCAGAGCAACTTGTACGCGACGCAACACGGAAGACGACTGAACATGACGATGGAGGAACTGCTGGGAATCATCGGTGTGATGATGATGACGGGCTATAGAACGACGCACAACAAGAAACATCTGTGGTCTGCAAAGGACGATGTGTCATCTGTGTGGGCACAGGAGCTCATGCCCAGGAACAGGTTTCTTGAACTTCTCCAGAATCTGCACCTGGCGGACAACAGCAACATCAGCAAGGACAGATACTACAAGGTACGTCCGTACTTCCAGCACTTGAACGCCGGATTCAAGACGGCAGCTCTCACCAGAAACCTGAGCGTTGACGAGACAATGGTACCGTACTATGGACGGCACAGCACCAAGCAGTTCATAAGGGGCAAACCTGTAAGATACGGGTACAAACTGTGGTGTCTGGCAGCCTCCACCGGATATCTCTATCATGCGGAACCGTACTGTGGGGCCGACACCCAACTGGCTGACACGGGCCTGGGGAAGGGAGCTGACGTGGTGCTGGGCCTGCTGAACAAGTGCGCCGTCCCACCAGGCCATGCTATATTCTTCGACAACCTGTTCACATCACTCGAGCTCTTGGACGTGCTGTCGGACATGGGTCTTGGCGGGTGTGGAACCGTCCGCGAAAACAGGCTTGGTGGCGCTCCATTTTCAGACAAGAAGGTGCTGGAGAAGAAGCAGCGTGGGACAATGGAGTGGCTGTCTGACGGTGACAACCTGGTTGTGCGGTGGAACGACAATCGCGTCGTGACGGTGGCGACGAACTGTGAGCCGCTGGAGCCGCTCGTTACCGCCAGCCGGTATGTGAAGAAGCAAGGTGGCAGGATCGCTGTACAGATGCCCCGTCCTCTTCATGCATACAACACCCACATGGGCGGTGTGGATCTGTTTGATCAGTGTGTTGCTCTCTACCGCAGCACCATACGCAGCAAGAAGTGGTGGTGGCCGCTCTTCCAGTGGGGAGTTGACGCTGCCCGGACAAACACCTGGCTCCTGTCTCAACGGCATGCCAAGGGACCGCAACTTCCCTTCCTGCGGGAGCTCACGTACGTCCTCATCAAGAAGAACACGGTGCCGCGTCCTCCAGCAAGCTTCTCTGGCCGCCACCAAGCACCAGAAGACCTCCGCTACGACGGTCTACATCACTGGCCAGCAGAGCTCAAAACCAGGTTCCACCGTTGCAAGGTGTGCAACAGCCGAACCAACATGTCCTGCGAGAAGTGCGCCGTTCCACTACACCCAAAGTGCATGAAGGTGTACCACACTCCATGAGCACACGGAAGATCAAGAGGGGCATCAGCACCAGTTGGGTTCCTACGTATGGCTGATGATCTGAACAAGCCCAAAAATGCGCAGTGGGCGTGACCTTGTCGACATCAAAGAAAGCAGGTCAAATATCTTTTACCTTGTGTTGGATTTTGTGTGTGGTAATAACGTAAAATACAGGTGCTCAACTACAGATGCTGACATTTTAAGTCTTCGCAGAAAGATTGGACGTTATTATAAACAAAAGTAAGAAAAAGTGGTTAAAATTCCATTTCATGGTGTTTATTGACCCGTTGGTCACAAATGTTGCCACCCCCAAAAACAGGTAAAAAATATCTCCAATTTTTTCCAAAAAATCACAGGCAATCAGTGACTCCTGATAAGTATATACAGCAAAAATGAAACAATTTACACCACTTTAAGGACCTTGGGCACTAATGGGTTATAATGGGGAGGTCGCAAAATTGACCTGACCTTAGGTCATCGATATCAAAATTCTGAGATATACATTTTGTACATGCTATTACTCTTAGCAATCGCTGAGAGTTTCAAAGCGATCGGTCACTCGGTGTAGCTATGACAGACATTGAAACTTTTTATGAGGTGAGGTCACTTCAAGTGACCTGGTGACCTGACCTTGAATGACCTTGGTCTGAAATTTTCACAACATGTGTAGAATTGATGCATGATAAGGTGTATCAAAAACGGCGGCGCTCCGCGCCGCCGTTTTTGAGATATTCGCGAAAAACCACAAGGGGGGGGGGGGTGTTCAAACACCCCCCCCCCCCAGCAGGGCGCGGGTTAATTAAAACGCGGTAAAGGATACTGCTCCACCGGAGCCGCTTTAAACTACCATGGTAAAGTTGGGTTCATGTGGTGACCCTTGGCGACCTGACCTGGTATGACCAGTGACCTCTAATAGCGACATATGTACTAGACAACTGACGCCCTATCGCTAATTTTCGCAGAGGTGAATAAAACTCAAAAGCTGTCACCTACGCAATGTCTAGCTGTCACCAATTTTTTACAAGTCATCTTGAAACAGTATGTACCATATTTTTTACGTTTTCTCATCACCTTTGTAGGCCTAATGAAATGAGGCCAGAATGTTAGAAAGAAACTGACCTTTCAAATTTCGGCCTCTGTGCATTACAAAGCATCACCACATTTCAGTGACACAACAACACAAAAATAAATTACTAGCATCCAACTTACCTAAGGTCTGATCGACTTCCTAGCTCGTCCTGGCTTCCTGATCTAGTTCAATCAGAACTCACGAAAGGATTGTCAGTTGTCACTGATTCACTTGCCTTTGCTTCAGTAGTCAGAACCAATTATCAACGCTCCTACCAAGTTCCCGGGACCGATGGTCATTAGGTTGTTCAAAAAAACCGAATTTTGGAAAAGTATACGGGCTCATGGCTCATGTGGTGCAATATTCTTTTCTGAGTCCAATGATGTCCATTTTTCTGAAAAGTATTAACTGTTAGGGGCTCCTCAAACGGCTTAAAGAGGACCATGTTACGCCCGCCGACCGGCCGGTGTCAATAAGGGCGAGAACTCGACGCCGCGCGCCGGCGGCAGCGCCTTATCGGCACCGCGCGCCACGGCATCTGCCGGGCGGCCGGCTGGGCAGTGGGAAGTTACAAGTGCGTGGTCTTATTGCACACGATCGGGGTGAGCTATCCCATGTTTTCGGGGCGGAAAGTTTCAGTGCAGCATCGGTGCGGCTGCTGCGGTGGTCTGTGTCGATGGTACAGAAAATAAGTCAAACATAGCTGAGAAAAGACTGAATGATTCCGGTTAGTTGCCTCGAAACAATCCATTTCAAGAATACATTTGCCTTCTTAACGTACCGTATCACTTGTTAATTCTTCAAAAAGCAAGCTCTGAGCAATAACAGACTTCTTTGCATTGCTGTTGACTATTTAAGTTGCTTTTGGACGGTGGCTCGCACCCCCAATATGCTGCCACGCATCTTAAATCTAACGGCGAAACGCGCAACTGTGCGAGAATCGAAAATTCACTATTTACGTACAGCAAGAGCTGGCAATGCACAAGAACAGAATATGGAGACCCGGAAGTCATCGGTCCAAGTTTGGGGGTGGGTTTGACGAGCATGGGCGTCACCAATGTCATTATGCAGATACGTTGATGTCAAATGCTGAAGCAACAGAATCGACGCCAGGTTTAACTTAGATTAGCAGGCCGAAATAAAACATAGCATGTCCGGGAATGACAGGGTGGCCACCCTGACAGTGTGACGAAGTGAGACATGAGTAGAGACATTAGCCGGAGTACCTATAAAGCGCCGTTTATCCAATCCTTCGAGCATAAGCGACGCCGGCAGTCCGGCCAGGGCGGCCGTGCCCACCGATGCCGATCAAGACCCGAATCCAGACCCGGCATAGAACACAGCTCTGCCCTGACGTGACACATTACCCCGGTGTGTCACTCATGACGGATAGACCAATGCAGGAGCCTTGCCAGCTCCTGTTGTACCTACTTCGTTAACCCGCGCCCTGCTGGGGGGGGGTGTTTGAACACCCCCCCTTGTGGTTTTTCGCGAATATCTCAAAAACGGCGGCGCGGAGCGCCGCCGTTTTTGGTACACCTTATCATACATCGATTCTACACATGTTGTGAAAATTTCAGACCAAGGTCATTCAAGGTCAGGTCACCAGGTCACTTGAAGTGACCTCACCTCATAAAAACTTTCAATGTCTGTCATAGCTACACCGAGTGACCGATCGCTTTGAAACTTTCAGCGATTGCTAAGAGCAATAGCATGTACAAAATGTATATCTCAGAATTTTGATATCGATGACCTAAGGTCAGGTCAATTTTGCGACCTCCCCATTATAAGTCAATGGGATAAAATTGAAATGCGCCTCTTTTGGATGAAAGACATTATAAACACTCCCAAACACCGAATTACAAGTGGTTTAGACACACTGAACTTGAAAATGGTGTCCGTGACCCTTGTTTATGCCCTGAGGTCATCTTAGGTCACGAATGGTATCTAACAGTTTTTCGCAAATAACTTTTGATAGAGGCATGCTAGAGCGATGAAAACGCCTTAGATGTGTTCAGCTCGACGATACGGATCGACTGATATGCAACATGACCCTTTCCGGTCAGGTCATGACCTTGACCTGAGGTCAAATTTTCAAGTTGACCTTTCAAGGTCAAGTTATAGTTCATTCGATGCGTCTTGACGAGAGGAACACGATGCCGGTAAAAGTAAGCTCGTACAAGGCTTGGGTCAAAAGTTATTGCAGAAAAACTGTTTTCGAAAAAATCGGCTATTTTTGCAGTTTTTGCCCCCTGCAGGCAAAACTGTTGACGTTAGGTCAAATCTGAGAGAATTACTCAGAAAGAGCGTTAATAGGGCTATCGAATACGCTTTTCCGCGGCGCTGTAGCTCTATTGGTTCCCGAGTTATGCGTTGGCTTCTTGGAAATTTTCGACATTCGCCCTGGAAATCGGCGAAATTTTGCCTTCAATGACCTCTGGTGACCTGACCTTTGACCTGACCAAAAAATTGACCGAAGTGATTTCGTCATTATTTTTTACGCTCTTTCGAACGCCGCCTTCCGCGTATCGCTACGTGGCCCAGGAGCCGAGTTACAAGGGGGGGTGTTCAAACACCCCCCCCCCCAGCAGGGCGTGGAAATCCAGGACCCCCAGCAGGGCGCGGGTTAAATTTTCGATTCTCGCTAAGTTGCCGTTTCGTCGTTGGAATAGAGTTACGCGGCAGCATATTGGAGCTGCGAGCCACCGTCCAAAAGCAACTTAAATAGTCAACAGCAATGCAAAGAAGTCTGTTATTGCTCAGAGCTTGCTTTTTGAAGAATTAACAAGTGATACAGTACGTTAAGAAGGCAGCTGTATTCTTGAAACGGATTGTTTCGAGGCAACTATCCGGAATCGTTCAGTCTTTTCTGAGCTCTGTTTGAGTTATTTTCTGTACCATCGACACAGACCACCGCAGCAGCCGCACCGATGCTGCACTGAAACTTTCCGCCCCGAAAACATGGGATAGCTCACCCCGATCGTGTGCATTAAGACCACGCACTTGTAACTTCCCACTGCCCAGCCGGCCGCCCGGCAGATGCCGTGGCGCGCGGTGCCGATAAGGCGCTGCCGCCGGCGCGCGGCGTCGAGTTCTCGCCCTTATTGACACCGGCCGGTCGGCGGGCGTAACACGGTCCTCTTTAAGCCGTTTGAGCAGCGCCTAGCAGTAATACTTTTCGGAAAAAAGGGTATCATTGGACTCAGAAAAGAATACCGCACCACATGAGCCATGAGCCCATATACTTTTCCAAAAATCGGTTTTTTTGAACAACCCTAATGGTCATGGACCTCACCCCAGTTGTGGCCCAGATGTGACGTCCCCCGTTTCGTCGCCCGGTCCCTCCCTATCTCCGGCGGCGACCAAGGCCGCGCCGGTCCCCGCCACCGCTCAACCGGCGACGAGCGGGGACGAGCTGTCGCACTGTCGCCGTTTTTCCTGCGTTGTCTATGGCGCTTCATAACGCACCGGCTGTCGTACCGGCGGGATTTTTCAGCAGGAGCTGGCTACAAAGAGATGACGCTGTTAAATTTTTATGCCGTGGTCCATAGTGTCCCTCTGTGGGAAGACAGCTCTGGTTTTAGCGGAAACGGCCTAGTTATCTATTTTAATCCACGCGGGGCTGGGAGGGGGGGGGGGGTAAATTTTACCCACCCTCGCAAATTTTTGCAATAACTCAAAAACAGCGGCGTACAGCGCCGCGAAACTTTCAGTACCTTTTTTACATCAATTTGACACGTTCCCTGAAAATTTGAGCGAAATCCGTCGGATTTTTTTTTTTTTTGAGAAATTGACGTTTTAGTGATGTCATGTTCGCCATTTTCGCCTCAAAAACGGCAAAATTTCAAACGCCGCTAACATCTTCATTTTTAAAGGAATCAAGACGTAACAAAAAGGGTTACGTGTAATTCTACTTTGTCTATCAAATGAC